CCTACATGATAGCTACCAACCATCCGTGACCCCAGTTCCAGGGGATCCAACACCCTCTTCTGACTTCCTCAGGCACTGTACAACACAGGTGTACATACATGCAGGCAATACACTCATACACATAAATTAAAAATAATAAATAAAATATCTAAAAAGATATTTTCCAATTATTCCAGACATTCCATAGTTTTGTTTGTTTGTTTGTTTTTCAATATATACACATAAAGAGGATTTCAAGCTTTCTGCAAAATTGTCTTCTAAGGCATGCTATTAAAATTTTATTTGCTATAATTGCCTTTTTGGTTCAAGAAACATTTATTAAGCACCTACTATATGCAAGACCATATGGGAACAAAGCTAAGTAGGTGGCTAAGTTAGGATGCAGGTCTCATTCTCAATGCCTTACTTATAATATGGGAACCAACTAGCAGAAGCAGAAATGTCCAAGTATCAGAAGAATGCAGTAGGAAATCATTACTTATCAGATGCATACGTAGGAGTCAGTATGCCTCACACTGGTCCAAATAAACATCTAAAAATGTGGGTCCTTCAATATGAGGTGGAAAAAAAATCAAATTTCTCCGAAAACACACACACACACACACACACACACACACACACACCTTACACACTAGCTAGTCAATGAATGAATGAAGTCAACTTCCTGTTGTATTTAAAGAGGTTCTAAGAAGGGAGAGATCATTTTTTGATGAGGGGATGGGCTATGTTCACATGTATGTGGAATGTGATGCTATCATTTTTGGAGTATTCAATGGGAGGAGAAAGAAGAATTTATGATTTTGTGAAGGCAGACAGGGTGGCTGGGGCATGGTAAACTGACTCCATGCGCTGGAAGAGAGTATGAGGCAAGGAAATCAAAATGGGATCTTTTCAGGTCAGGATGATGTACTGAAACAGCTCTGCCAATTTGGCTTCATAGATATAGGTGTGCCATAATCCAACCTTTGTCTTGGGAAGGGTGGGATGGAGCAAATGGAAGGAAGGCTGGAAGTTCAGAGCAGGGTGATTGGATGTGATGATAGTGGAGATGAGACTGAAAGAGGTCTGAATAAAGTGACTGGAGGAACTTGCAAAATGAACATGTCCAAGATGTGATGAAGATATTTACACTACAAAAATCAAAACCTGTATTGATTTCAACAAAGTTAAGAAATGGCATTTTTTTTTCTTATTTTTCAGACAGCTCACCATCCAAATCAAAGCATGCTGTTTACCACATAATCCCATAATATCACCAGATGTTTGCATTTGTAGTTAAGGCTTTTAAACATGCCTTTCTCATAGTTGAACAGAATTCCCCTTTGCTGAACATTATTGCCAAAAGATGACATATGAAAAATATAAGCAGTGAAAATCTACCTGTTCAGATGCACATTAAACCCCAGGAAAGAGCAAGATTATTTTTTAAACTTTATTTAGAGCTCTGGGAATCACTTTTATTTTCAATTCCAGTTAATTCTAATCTTTTAATAAAGGCTTCTGAAAATGGTCTCAATTTCCCCCCAGTTCCACTCAGAGGCATTGTTAAATCATCCAGTCTTTGTCCTCATTAATCCAAAGGTTTAACTACTTTAAATGCACACAAACACTGAAGAGAATTTTTACCTTAGAGGATTCAGGGTGTGGTGCAGATTTAAATCTCTGAATACTGTAAAATGTTTCTCTCCCACTCACACTAACTTTTCAGTGTATTCCCACTGGTTAAGTAAAAGAACTAACAAAAGTTTGTGGGTAAGCAATATTTTCTTTCACGTTATTTTTAAAACCTTCAGTTGTAAGTCTTGTATATAATTTATGTTGACTTGGTTATATAATTTGCTTTGGAGGGATTTGGGGTCTCTTTTGTGGACAGTGTGTTAGGTAGATAAAGTCCAATGAATGGATCTTTTAGTTATGTTGATAATAAAGACCGAGTAAATAGGGAAAAGGGTCATAATACTTGACCCAAACCAATTTTGATTTTAAAAGTTTTAAAGAGTATCTCATAGGATTATATTTCATACTTTCAATCCCCAAATTCTAAGATTCAGTAACTTCTCCCCACATATTCTTTTACATCATCAGAATTATCCATTGTTGGTAAACTGATTTTGCAGTCTTGTTCTGATTTTCCATGTCCCTATGCACTGATACAGTAGAGCAGAAAGGAAAACGCACCCATCTTTTCCAGGTAGGATAGTTCCTTCCTTACCTGCTTCTGTCCACACCACAAGTTCCAGACTCTGTAGAGAGCTTTAAGAACTTCATTGGAAACAGAAGCTTGTGCATGCACACACATATGATCTCAATCCTGTGAAAACAATCCTTAAAAATTCTTTGTTTTTGCTTTTCCACACCCATCCCTGGTCTACAGGGCAAGTGAGTCTATTTTTCTTCTTTCCCTTTTCCCTTTTATTTTCTGGAGAGTCAGCTTATTTTAACATTTCTAATTCCCACTTGAATGTCAACATTTTTTTTTTAAGCTGTTAGCTGTTTTCCCCCTAATACTCGATGTACTTCCATCTTTTAGCCACATGCCCTGTTCAGACTCTAGATATTAACCTTGACCTGCCCTTAATTTTCTTCTCCCTCTGGAATGAGTTCTTGTAGATTATTTTCAAACGCCATAGTTCTATTAACATGCTGGTGGCTGTTGCCATAGGGGAGGGGGCAGCTTGTTTTCCCGCGCATAGAAGCATTCGTTATAGAATATATTTACGATCTGCTCTGCACTCAGCTCTCTGAGAAAGAGCTGTTAACGCACAAGAACAGCCAAGATGACATAATTCCTCATAGCATCCTTCCATCCTTAGTTAAACTCACTGCCTGCCTCTCCCAGCCCCACCTACAGGGAAACTTTACAGTGATTCTAGTAGATGGGAGTTTTTCTTTTAAATAACGAGCATTGCTGATTTTCTACAAATTTTCAAACTTGGCTTTGCTACGTTGTTCCTACATAGATGCAGGCGAGTGGAAAGGGGTTGCTTCCCTCTGGCCCAAGACTAGACCCAGGGTGGGTCAGGGGTCTGCAGCTATCAGTTTCTTAGAACAGAACCTCCCCACCCGAGTAGTGCAACCCTCAGTCTCTAGGTCCATTTCTTTTCCGGATTCCAGAGTCCCATGCCTCCTTGAGTGGGACTGTTTTCTTGTGTACCGCTACTTCGCAGGAAGAGTGTTCCACACATTTCAGACACTTCCATACTCCTCTCGTTTTTTCTTTGAAACCACCAGGACAGACTGCTTCCCGCAATCCTATCCTAAGATTCAGGCCCTCTGATTCATCCTGTTACGACTATGAAGGGGCCACGCCAGTGGTCCTCTGGTTGGATCCCCTTTCCCATTCTCTATCTGCACAAAATGTGGCAGGGGCAGAGCCCTCACCAGGCAGTGCCCCGCCTTTGTTTTCATTAACAGCGCACTCAGGGCTTTAAGTACTTGGCAAATACCACCATGCCACACAGATGTAGAAGCTGGCTTTTCCTGGCTTGAATTCGCTCCTTCGTTCTCATTTCCTGTTTCTCGGCTTCTTTCTTGTTTCTCTCCCCACCCCACTCCACGCCACAGCACTGCAAATCTCTCCTAACACAAACTTCCCCTTCTCGGCCTTCCACTGTCCAGGAGGGTTTCCCACGCAGGGCGGGCTCAGGGGCGCGGGGCAGGGGTGTCAGGCCCACCCAGGAGTTCACCTGGGTTTCAAGAAAGTGGCACCCACAGTGCCCCGATCGTCCGTGACCATCCCCGGGCAAGCACCACTCCCGCACCGCTCCTGGCCGCTTCCGCCGTCCCTGCTCCCCGCCCCCGCTAATCCTCCAGCGGAGCCTGACCCCACACCCTGGCGACCAGGGCGACGACAGCCGGGCTCAGCCCAGAATCCCGCGGATCCGCTTCCCGAGGCGGCAGGCGGAGCCGCTGGGGACAGCGACAAGGACCTGGCTCCTCTCCGGTGACAGAGCAGGGATCTGTCCCAGCTCTGGCCCCGCCGCCCTGGCTGGGGTCCCAGCTCAGCTCCCGCCTCCTTTCCCCCTGCGATCACGACTTCGTAGCTTTCCTAAATAACCTGCCAGGGCGTCCGGTGTGCCGGCGCTGTGGAGCGAGGCACCAGTGCACCGCGCCCCCATTCATCCAGCCAAGGTGAAGTGCCTGGAACAGGGCGCCCGCGCCCTGCCGGCCCTCAACGTGCGCGGCGGTGGAACCCAAACAATGACCCCCCTGTCGCCAGTCTGCTCCCTCATGCCCCGCCACCCAGCCCCAGCCCAGGGCACAGTCAGCGGGGCTGTCCCCGGGGCGGGGGGGGGGGGGACCCTGCCCGCTGTGCTGGGCGCCCGGGGGCGGACCCCGCAGTCTCCGCCGGCTCCGCCCACACCTTTCCAAGTTCGCGGGCGGGCGAGCGCGGGGACAGCTCGGGCGCAGGGTCTCCTCTTCGTGAGCCCACACCCACCCGGGCCCCGTGGGTAGGGGACGAGCGCAGAGCCGGCTCCCCGCTGTATTTGTTTCCCAAATTCCCCCCTCAGACCGCTTAGACCCGCGGTGACACAAAAGAGGGGGACTTGGTGGCCGCTCAGCGCGAGTCTGGCCGCGGCGAGTTGCCCTGGGGGCGTCTCCCTCTGAGACCTCCGAGTTCCCCCTAGGGCATCCTCTCCCGGAGCTCCAGGGGCCATGTGTGGGTTATTTGGGGTGCCGCAGCGAGGTGGTGCAGGTGACAGGGCGGCGCAGGCTGGAGGCCAGGGGCGGGGG